ATCTGATCAAGAGAGGGTGTTCTCTTCGATCTATTCTTTTGGGATATAAAAGAATTTGGCGTCGTCGTTGCACCGTGGAGTAGCTCCGAATGAGTGATTTTGGGATATAAAAGAATTTGGCGTCGTCGTTGCACCGTGGAGTAGCTCCGAATGAGTGAACCACGTATATCTGTGAGTACTGTCGTTGCACCGTGGAGTAGCTCCGAATGAGTGAACCACGTATATCTGTGAGTACTGTGTTTAATATTGTACCTTTATTATTGGTGTGTACCCTAACAACTAGTATCAGATCCTGATTTAGAGTATATATATCTGCTTATCGTATGCTCTGTGGCTACCACTAAAAGTGGATCCTCCACATCAAAAAATAAGTTAGATTATTATTTACTCTTTTAAGGCACTACGTACTATTCACGTGTATGACACTATTCACATGTATAACACTATTCACATTTACAATACTATTCACAAATACGCTACATGAAAGACATAATCTTTTGTAATGGGATCTACAGTTGAAGACAACAGGCTTCGAATTGAGAAGTTCGGCGGGCAAAATTTTAGATATTAGAGGATGCAAATAGAAAACTATTTGTACCAGAAGGATCTCTTCCTATCCCTCCAAGAAGAGGCGGGGAAACCTGAGAAGATGGGCGACGATAAGTGGAAGGTGCTCGATCATAAAGCACTTGCCACCATTAGACTCAACCTTCACCAACACGTGACTTACAACGTCTCGCGTGCAACCACCACCAAGGAGTTGATGGAGGTCCTGGAGGCGCTGTATAAGAAGCCGTCTGCTTCAAATAAGGTTTTACCTGATGAAGAAGCTATTCAATCTGAAGATGCAGCAAGGAGCTCGCGTGGCGGACTTCTTGAACGAATTTCAGGCTGTTGTGCAACATCTTGCTGCAGTGGATCTAAAGTTCGATAATGAGATCCAAGCTCTTCTGCTACTTTCTTGTCTACCAGATTCATGGGAGAATATGGTGATGGCGGTGAGCAACGCCAATGGCAATGACAAGATGAAGCTCGACATGGTGATTGGGGCAATTCTGGATGAAGAATCTCGTCGCAAAGTCTCAGGAGCTGAGACCTTTAGCAGTGGGAGTGCTCTGCACGAGGGCGTGCGCAGAAGAAGGGTGGGGGATGACGAGGCCAATCAAAATCCAGAGGGAAGTCTAAAGGGCCGAACCCGAATGGTTATGGTGAAGGGAAGTGCTTCAGATGCGGAAAGAAAGGTCACTTTGAACGGAACTGCAGAGTTTCTATTCCAGCATCAGCAGGGGATGATCGGGCTGACGGTGCAGCCAATCTCATGCAAGAGACAGATTTGGATGCGCTTCTCCTATCCCTTGAAGACAAAAGCGATGCATGGGTCATCGATTCTGGCGCATCTTTCCATGCAACCTCACAACAAAAGCTACTTTCATCGTTTGTGAAGAAGGACTTGGGGACAATCTATCTTGGCAACGATCAACCTTGCAAGGTTTCCGGGAAGGGAAATCGTACCCTCAAGATGGAGGGTGGGACCACCTTGACGCTGAATGATGTTCGGCATGTATCGGATCTCAGGTAAAATCTTATATCAGCCGTGCAACTGACTGACTCCGGTTACAGAGTATCCTTTGAGCAGAGAAGCTGGAAGGTGTCCAAGGGTACCCTGGTGGTGGCACACGACAAACGCGAGGGGTCTCTCTACATCTCCAATGGGAAGATCGACCACTTGCTTGTCGCAGGACAAGCATCATTATCATCATCATCCGTCGACTGCATGACCTGGCATCGACGACTTGGCCACATGAGCGAGAAGGGGATGCAGACAATGGCCGTGGGAGAGAGGCTTCCGGGTCTGAACAAGATTGATCTGACTTTCTATGAAGACTACATCGTGGGCAAACAAAAGAAGGTGACTTTTAACAAGACCGGACCGGCTCTAAAACTACAAAAATTAGAGTTGGTGCACACCGACATGTGGGGACCTTCGTAAGTCCCATCTGTTGGAAATTCTCTTTACTTTATCATTTTTATTGATGATGCTACTAGAAAATTGTGGGTATTCTTCTTGAAGCACAAGTCAGATGTTTTCATCGTCTTCAAGAAGTGGCTTGCCTGTGTGGAGAACGAAACAGGCAATAAGCTGAAGTGCCTAAAGTCTGATAATGGATGCGAGTATTGCAGCCAGGAGTTCAAGAACTTCTACTCGTCCTATGGGATCAGGAGACTGAAGACCGTTCCAGGCACACCTCAGCACAACGAAGTGGCGGAGCGTATGAATCGTACTATCTTAGAGCACGCCAGAAGTATGAGGATCCACTCCGGAATGCCCAAGAGTTTTTGGGCTAAAGCTGTTAATACAGCTGCATACTTGATCAACCACGGGCCATCCGCGGCTCTCAGTTATGGGATACCTGAAGAGGCTTGGACCAGAAAGAAGCTGAAGCTAGAGAAATTACGAGTATTTGGTTGTGACGCCTATGTCATGACCAATCCTGCAGACCGGTCAAAGCTTGATCTAAAGTCAAAGAAGCTCTCTTTCATCGGCTATGGAGGAGATGAGTATGGGTACCATTTCTGGGATCACGATGTGCGCAAGGTGGTACGCAGTCGTGACGTCGTGTTCCATGAGAATGCGGTGTATAAGACCAAAGAAGTGAGTGGGAGTCAGCTATCTCCCCCTCTTTTTCCAGATGTTGCTGACAGTGAGGATGGCAGTGAGATACCAATCAGTATAGAAGACGGAGACCAAGAGAACGTGCAGGATGCACAACAGCAGGATCCAGCAGAGTTGCCGATCGCAATTCGCAAAGTTCCAAGAAATCCAAGGGTGTTAGAGAGGTACCTTTCCACCATGAATTATCTTCTCCTGACTGACAGTGGTGAGCCAGAGAGCTATAAGGAGGTACAGCAGACCGATAAAGTTCGGGGTGAGTGGGAGTCTGCCATGGAGAAAGAAATAAAGTCATTGATGAAGAATGGGACTTGGGAGCTCGTAAAGCTTCCAAGAGGGAGAAAGGCTCTTCACAATCGGTGGAGACTTGGGAGCTCGTAAAGCTTCCAAGAGGGAGAAAGGCTCTTCACAATCGGTGGATTTATCGGGTCAAGGATGAAGAAGAGGGAGAAAGGCTCTTCACAATCGGTGGATTTATCGGGTCAAGGATGAAGCCGATGGACGGAGATGCTACAAGGCGAGGCTTGTAGTGAAGGGCTATGAGAAGAAAGCAGGGATAGACTATTCTGACGTTTTTACCCTCGTCGTCAAGTTGACCACAATCCGGACTGTGCTGAGGATTGTGGTAATTCGAGATCTCTATCTAGAGAAGATGGATGTGAAGACGACATTCCTTCATGAAGATTTGGAGGAAGAGATCTATATGCATCAACCCGTGGGCTTCGAGGAACGAGGCAGAGAGGGTCATGTGTGTCGCCTGCACAAGAGTTTGTATGGCCTGAAGCAAGCTCCACGACAGTGGTACATGAAGTTCGAGAACTTTATGGCGGAGAACGGTTTTCTCAAATGCGACACTGACCACTGCTGCTTTATCAAGAGATATGGTGAATCCTATGTGATACTCTTGATTTATGTTGATGACATGCTGATTACTAGGCCCGACTTGGCCTATATTGAAGAACTCAAGGGGCGTCTCTTCGAGTGCTTCGAGATGAAGGATCTGGGTCCAACAAATCAGATTCTTGGGATGAGGATCATTAGAGATAGATCAGCACAGAGGCTGATGTTATCTCAGAAGGCCTACATTGAGAATATTCTTAAAAAATTTGTCATGGAGAAAGCTAAACCGGTGGGCTCACCGTTTGCGAGCCATTTCAAGCTCTCAAAGACGCAAGCACCAGAGACTGCTGATGTCGTTAACCTAACAAAACAAAATATGGCGGCCCACAAAGGTGGGCCCCACAAAGAAAATTGAGATTTCGGTGCCGTTTTCTTTGAAGAATAAAAAGGTGGCGGGTCCCACCGGGTCTCACAAATATTTTATTATTAGTGACGGGTCCCACTGATAATATTATATTTATGCATAGTATTTTCTTAAACACTATAAATAGGTCCCTAAACTCTTAAGGATATCTCATCCCAGAAACAACTCCTCTTATAGAAGAGTAAAAGAGAAAACACAGAGAGAGATTGTGAGAGTTCTTTGAGTGTATCTGATCAAGAGAGGGTGTTCTCTTTGATCTATTCTTTTGGTATATAAAAGAATTTGGCGTCATCGTTGCACCGTGGAGTAGCTCCGAAGGAGTGAACCACGTATATCTGTGAGTACTGTGTTTAATATTGTGCCTTTATTGTTGGTGTGTACCCTAACAAATGTCATCTGTATAGATACGTATGCTATAAGCTAACTGGTGTAATTACATCATAACTCAGGATACTAGAATGTAACCAGTCCTAGTAGAAACCAAAATAATTTGAACGAAGTTAGAAAACTGACATTGAAATGGACATGTGAATTGTGGGGCTGAATCAAGTTGAACACAACTTCTATGTATAAAGGTATGAACAATTTCCATGACTATATTGAAATTCAAAATTCAGCAAGGCATGGTGGTCCATAACGTGAAGAGTTAGGTAAACATTCACAGATTTAGCTAAAGAGATAATTGCATGAACAAGTCTCATCTATTCTTGGTAAAGTCTTAGCTTTCTGTTCATTGAAAGTCTTGTTGCATTTACTTACCCATGAAGAAATTCCTCCATAAATAGACTCCACAGATAAAATCCAGCTCTTCATGACTATAAATTTGTCACAAATTTTGAAATTTTAGAAATCAGAAAGCGCAAAAACAGCAAGGGACCACTAGTTACTAGTTTTTTATTCTTGTTTCTATTCTCTTAATGACATATAAATGAATTAAATTAATTTCCAGTCAAAATTAGAAAGCAGTTGGTTTTATGTCACAGTCTCAAAGCCATAAGCCAATTCCTAGTACTAGGAATAATATTGACAGGTAAAAATTGACTGGGAAAATGTTGCAACCACAGGAAAAAAAATGACTTATCATGGTTTGATTTATTATCAATAAGATGAACTAAACACAAGTCTGATAAAACTCTTATATCCACTTCATACATTTAATTCTCGATTACACTGATGGATCATTCTCTTCACCATTGCTTTCTTCATTTGCATTTATCTCAAGAGAAGTACAGTAAGGGATAAGTCTGCACTAATCTAGTAAAGTTTCAGATTCAAATCAATATTGCTTTCTTCATTTGCATCTGTCTCATGAGAGCTCGGCGCCATTGGCAAGAATGAGTAGAAAGTTTGTTCAGATGAATTTTCAGTTCTTTTTGCAGGATTTTCCAAATTTCCCTGCAACAACAATACTCAACTTGAATATTACAGATTTATAACATTAATCTAATGCACGACACTGAAGTAATGATAACTTTGTATCTTACTTGAGACTGCATAATTGAGTGCTTCAGTTTTGATGAGGACTGTGTTGAAGAATTGCCTAAAGAGAGAAATCCACTGTCTAAAGATGCATCGATATCTCTTAGACGCTTTTTCATATGAACCTCTGATTTCTTCCTGTCAACTTGGTATGAGTTATAACTTGGAGCTCCTTCTTTACTGAGGAACCAAATAAATCACTAAACAAGCATAACCATAATAGCTTATACAGACACGATTATATTTTAATTACTACCTGTATCCAGTGAATCTGTTTTCAAATATTGTCAAGGGAGATTTTCCATAATCTCTGCGTTTGTGTTCAAATCTCAAAGGAGGTAGTCCATAGTTCGACAGTTCTTCAGGATTCAGAAAAGGATTGTTGTACTGAGGGATTTTGTAGCGCAAGGCAATCTCATTTACAGTTTCAGGATAAAAAGGCCATGGTAAGTTCGTGCCAGCAACCTAATCCTACCCAGATTCACAGTTAGCTATAAAAAAAAAGGAAGAAATCATCAAGAAAATTGTTTCGTTTAGGAACTCCGATTGCTTACATACCTGCACTTCCTCTCTCTGAAAAGCGTTGTTGCTGTAATTTTGGTTTGAAGGGGGCTCTATCTGGAGATTAACTCCTGAAGATACTGGTATAAATCCTATTTTGTTGTTTGCCTGCAAAAAATAACCAAAAAGAAAAAAGACATATATATATATATTCATTTTACCCGAATAAAAAAATATTTAATACGAGAAAAATCCTGCTAACCATGGGATTCTGATGCTGATTTAAACCGAGAATGCCAATCTTTTCTGAAACGTTAAAATTATCCAAATCCTCTTCACAGTTACTTGCAGACTGCTTAAAAAAGTCGACGGTCGGATTCAAAGAGCTAACTGCTGCAGATCTGAACAGGCTAGGACTAGGTTCTGACGCAAAATACGGGATACATGGTTTTTTCTGCGAAGAAACGATAGGATGTAAAGGATTCAAAGGCAAAGAAGAAGAAGAGCCGGAACAGTTATTCTTCTGTTGTTCTTCAATTCGAAGTTTTTCGAGTTGGGCTACTCCAAGCCCACGCTGAGGGATTTTCTTGGCTTTGTTCTTCTTCGAGGACGAAGATCGAGGGTTGGTGACGGAACTGCATTTGGGCTGGTGTCCCTCATGAAACACCATTCCCATAAGACAGTCTTGATAGATAACAAAACAGATCAAGATCAAGATCAAGATCTTGGGGAGTCTTTGAGACAGTAATGGTTGCATCTAAGAAAACTGAAGAGAAGGAATCAACACCCTTGGTGAGTTATGTCTCTGAGAGAAGAATGTTTGCATGAACACAGAAGAGAAGGAATAAATCTCAGTAAATCTTTTAACGTGAAGAAAGTTTGCATCTAAGAGCACAAAAGAGGAGCCTACGGGAGATACGGATGGGTATTTAAAGAGCAAGTCCAAATTTCAATTATATTAGGCCTACCGCTTCGGTGCTTCATGAAAAATTGTTGGAGTACCGGTGGCATATCTGTAAATATATTCCTTAAAAATAGCTCTCACATTTCTAGATAGATAGATTTGATAGTTAGGAGGTGTTCCACACCCAAAATTATAATTAACTATAGATTAAAATGTTACTTTAGGAAATACAATTTAGGAGAGAAACTGAATTGTTGATTAGTTACAATTCTTCAACTAACTAATTTCAATTTAGCATAATCCTCTACCGTGGTTTTGCTCATGTGCTTTCAACTAGAACTTCTAATTTTGATTGCTGAAGGAAATTAGTTAATTGCTTACATTCACTAGTATCCACAGATTCATTGCTGAAGGAAATTTAGCTAATTTTTGCTAGTCTTATTTGTCCTCTTGATTAATTATCTTTTATATATTGTTTATAAAAGGCAACGACGCATCCTATTCTCCAAACTTTCTCGTGAAGAGGCGCTATGAAAGGTATCCCCATCTTTTTCCTTTTAATCTTTTTTTAATTATATAGAACATTATGCTATGCTCATTGTTCTTTGCCTCTATAAAGGTATTGGATGATGATTAAAAGACTCTAAAGTAATTATGTCATGTGATGAGAAAGGAAAAAAGCAACACAGTGGTTGTGTTTAGGATAGAAATCAATTAGAAGAGAATTTTGAAAGACTAAAATACCCTTTCTTATTTTAGCTCATTTGTTATTTTTGTCAATTTAAAAATTAAAAAAAAGCTTATTTTTGGAGCACCGAAGCAAACCTCTTATATTAGATTGAATAAATCCTAAGTTAGCTCTATGATTAGCCCAAACCCTTTTTCTCTCGCAGATCCAGCCCACGAATAATTCTCTGATTTGGTCGTTTACGACTAGATCTATGGGATTTTGACGATATTTTGTACTTTAGTCTAAGGAACAATGTTGTATTTACAATAATGAACGAGAGACTTATTTCTTAAAAAAAGGATCTCGATCTGGCATTTACGCAGCATGTTTTTTTGAGAATAATATTGGAATCTTGGACATAGATTTTATTGGGATTTAGGCTGTTTTGATTGATGGTAGTTGGAGTCATATCTCGCTCCAACTATAGTATAAATGTGGGAAAAAAAATTGTGTTTAGTTAGTGTTTTAAATATACAATTTTCTAGCTGTCAATATGTTTGATTTTAAATCATGTAACTGCAAATGCACTCAAAATGAGTGTAGTTACAATTGTATTTTGGAATGATTACCTAATGACAACGTACATTATCATTATTTTCGTCAAAATTATCATGCTCTAAGTAATTATTTGTTACAAAATTTTATATAAATAATAGGTAGATAAGTATTATTAAGTTATTTTTTAACAAATTGATTATACAGTTGAAGGAGCATGCTATCCAGACTCCAACTAAACTGTAGTTGGAAAAAACTTGTAATTGGTGATATATTATTTTCCTATACAAGTGTTATGCCTGTGCCGATACGGCTGGTGCATTAGTGAGAATTAATGATATCCTTGTGTAAAATGCATAACTATTCAATCCAATTACCTTACAGATATGATAGAAAAGAATTATGTAGCTGATGTAGCAGAAGCGCAATCAAAGGATAACTACTCGTTCTCGTACTAGCAAAACAACAAAAACCTTATAAACCCTAGAAATAAAAAAATAAAGAGTTCACAAATTCGTTACCAAAATAGCATTTCCTAAAATAATTAGACTTCCTAAAATGAAAAAGAAATGTTCCATAAAAACTAAAAACTAAATTGAACCAAACTTCTTTGACGCGCAGTTTAAGCCTGAAGACAAATTCCATTGACCATGAAATTCGGTTGGAATGGCAAAGTGGTTCAACTTGTAGAGCACTCAAAATTTTTGAAAATATACAATAGTATCAATTCAATGGAGGTAATAAAAAATTATGGTCCGTTGAAGTTGTATGTCGAAATCTGGCTGAAAATCATCCACTTTTCTTAGATCATCTGAGCTTCGCTCGATCCAGTTTCTCTCAAAAGGCATGAGCAACGTCCTTTGCATCATTCTCCCCTCCTTAAAAAAAACTTGACCCCAAGTTTGGCTAAAGATAAAGTGGCACATTAGGATGAAACTCCGTTAAGTCAGCAATATTGAAGGTGGGAGAAATATTGACAAAATCACTAGGTAACTACACAACATGAGTATTATCATTGAGTCGCTACAGTATACGACATGAGCCAATCTTTTTCATCTTGAGCGTAGTACGTGCCTATAGGGAATCATTCTTTGCGCAGGTGTACCATGACTTGATCGTAAATATCAAACAACTTCTAACAATGGTATTGATCAGCATCAGATTTGTACTTAGCGTTCGATGCTTCAAGCTTCTTCTGTACTTCTGATTGAGTGGCTTGAACATGCTTAGTCGCATGCTTAGCTGCAACGCTCTAACCCCGACCCTTAGGCAATTTTAGCAAGTCATCAGGTTTGTGCTAATAAAAAAATTTCAAATGAAGTCTTACCTATAGAACGATTGACAACGGCGTTGAAAGCAAACTCCGCTGGTGCAAGGAATAAATCTAGTACTTAGGCCAGCCTCCACAAGGACAATGAAGCAAGTTACCGAACATGCGATTGACCACATCTGTCTGCCCGTCAGTCCGTGGGTGGAATGAGCTACTAAACTGTAGCTTAGAAACTTGGAATCACAATTTGACATAGTAGACTTAGGAACGCTATGTAAACAAACAATCTTGAAAAAAAAGAGACGAACAATATTAAACGCATCACTAGTCTTCTTATATGAAATAAAATGATCCATCTTCGAGAATCTGTCCACCACTACAACGATGGAATATGGACCCCACTATATACGAGCAAGGCTGAGCATAAAGTCTATTAGAATATCTTTCATGGACCGTTCGTGATAGGAAAAGGTGTGTAACGGCCGGTGTTCTGTAATTGCCCCTTCACAGTTTGGCACACCAAACACTTCTCTACAACTCTACCCACATCTCCATGCAAACATGGAAAAAATATTGTTTCTCCACCAATGCAATAATTTTATCACAACCTAAATGTCCACCTAAGCTGCCTCCATGGAGATTCAGAATGAAATGATCACGCAAAAACCCCTGTAGAATGCAAAGCCTATTATGAAAGAAAAGGAACCCATCCTAAATATTCATGGCGCACGATTGTTTATATGCAAGCCGCCCCATCATCATGAAAATCCCCATCATCTGCATATAGATCTTTCAAGCAATTAAATCCAACAATAAAATTACTCATATGTTACTCACAAGGAGGTACGACGACGAAATGCATTAGGAATTGTTTAGCTTTTCCGACTTATGCTTCAAAAAAAATATAAACTACTGTAGAAAAGCAACCCAATGCCCATGCATGCAATTCATGGTACTCTGACTATTCAAGTATTTGAGGGCCTCATGATTGTTAGAAAGCACAAACTCACTGTGGAATAGGTACTTCTACAAACAACAGATATATTAGATGATAACATAAAAATCGAGCTCCTAAGTGGTCCACTTTCTCCTGGACTCACTCAATTTCTCATTGAGAAAGCTATCGGATAACACTCCAACAACAGGATAGCACTGATGCCTATTGTTGAACCATCACACTCCACATCAAAGACTTTATTAAAATCGGGTAAGGCAAATACTGGAGCATTGGACAACTTCTATTTGATAAGAGTAAAAGATTACGCAACCTCCTCTAACAATTAAATTTTCCTCGCTTTATGCACTCTGTGATTAGTGCCATGGTGGTGCTGAAGTGATGAATAAAATCCCGGTAAAATGTCACCAACCCGTGAAAGCTTCGGATCTCTGTGATGGTCTTTGGGATTGGCCACTCATGAGTTCCATGAATCTTCTCCTCATCTGCACGAATACCCTCAGCACTAACTATGAAACCTAGAAATAAAAGTCAATCAGCAAAAAAGTGCACTTCAGACGATTGATGAACAACTGATTCTCACAGAGGATAACTAAATCACCTTACAAGTTGTCGACATGGTCCTCTGTAGTCCTGCTATAGATAAGAATGTTGTTCAAGTATACGATGATAAATTTGCATGTAAAATATAGTGGAGCATTATCAAAGAAATAATTACTCATTCTCGTACGAGCAAAATGACACAAACCCTAGAAAACTCAGGAATAGAAAACTTTTGAGATTAATAATAACCAATTTAAAGAGTTCACAAATTCGTTCCCCTTATATAAGGTGTAAAACAAAGCAAAAGTACTAAATAACTTTTTTAAAACAACTAGACTTCCTAAAGTAAAAAAAACAAACATTCCATAAAAATTAGAAACTAAATTGAACCAAAACTTTTTGACACGTAGTTTAAGACTAAAGATGAATTCCTTTATCCCAAGAACTCGGTTAGAGATAATGGGGGAGCGATTATTCTCTTAAAAAAAGCTCTCAAACAGATGGTTGTCGAAGTTCACTGATTCAGCGAAGCTTGTTGAAGACGTTTGGGCGAGCCTCACTTGGATGTGGGTGAGCCTCCTTTGGAATCTTAGATGACATGACCCACATGTTAGACCCTAATGCCACTAGGAAAGAACAATAGAGGGGTGCAGGGGGGGGTGAATAGGGTTTATGCTAATCTAATCTGATTTAATACCAATTAAAACTAATTAATAAATATTCTAGCAAATTAATAATGCAACAAGATATATATGCAATGATATACAAACAAGGGTAAGTAAACTATAAACAAATACAAACAATATAGTAGATAAATTAGACAATGAGAGAATGGCGATAGAGATAAACAAAATATAAGTGCACAAGCCAAACTCAAACACACAAGAAATGATCATGGAGTTCGGACTTTCTGTCCTATGTCTCCGCTCCCCACTCCCGGGGAGAATCCACTACACAACCGGAATTTCAACGCTCACCTGAATAGCGTTTACACCACACAATATCGGTTTTC